CCCGAGGGGAAGCGAGGGGCGAGGGGCTGCCGGCGCCCTGTCCCCGGGCAGGCAGGGCGAGCCCTGCGTGCGGCGGGGGCGCTGCGGCCGCGACCTCCCTTCAGCCCCGCAGCCCGCGGGCGCCTCTCCCGGCCGGGGCAGCGGCTGCCGGGTCGAGCCGCTCCCGACGCCGCTCAACGAAGCGCGTCCAGGGAGAAGCGTTCAGGCAGCGGATTTTAAAGTTTAGAACCTGTGTGTGGTGTTCCCCTCCCCGCACAAAACATCATCACCTCTCCAGCCGGCGGCGGCACCTGCTGGGTCCCCTGCGGCGTGTGAGCGGCGGCGCCCGCCCTGGCGCGGGGGGAGCCCGGAGACGCTCGTCTCCTGCCTGAAGGAAACCTCCGCGGGGCAGAGCTTGGAGCCTGGGGGAGGCAGGAATCACCAGGGGCCGCTCCCCGCCTCAGGGGTGGGATGGCGGCCGCGGAGAACACGCTGTAAGAGCACAGCCCAGCCGTGGGGCCGCGGTGGCGGCTCCCGGCGTGGGCGCGGGGCGAGGCGGCACCGTGAAGAGAGAGGAGCAGCTCCGCTCCAGCCGAGTGCCCGCGGCCTGGCTCCCGGTGCGCCGAGCGTGCTGGCATGCAGCAGTGATTAGCATACATTAACGAGCAATTAGCATCTGGTAATAATCATTCCTGTGCCAGTGACACTCGGATTTGCAGTCCCCGACCTGTGAGCTGAGCCCGAGCTCACAGCGGTAAGCGATGGCACAGCCGGAGCCCACGGAGGCTCGGCAGAGCTGAGCGGTCCGGCTGCCGCGCGGTGCCGGCAGAGGCCGCGCTCAGTTAAATCCTGGCGCTCCGCCGCGCCCGGAGGAGCAGGGGAGGAAGGGAGGGAGAGAGATATAGACTCCCGTTGAGATGAATACTGGCATTCCTTAAAAATTTTCGTCTGTTTCAGGCAAAGTTTGATTTCTGTCCCACGATGCAAGTAACCAGGCGCAGCCCAATGGAGCGGCACGCCAGCGCTTCCCAAGTTTCCAGCAAAGGGGTTTAGGAAGGGGCAGCACCCGCTGACAGTTTTAGGACCCCGCGCTCGCGTCGGAGGACGGTGAGAGCTTGGACAGCTGTGGGCAAAGAGCAGGGGTACGAGGGGAGCTGTCTCCTGGCAGTCAGGCTGCGGGAGCGCTGCCCTCGGAGGGCAGTGAGGTGGCACACGTTGCATGGGTATGCTTAGACACAAGCAGCATAGGCAGTGTGGACCCCAAATACTCACACTTGCCTCTTTCTTAGGGAAGTGGGTCCAAGCGTGCATGCAAAGCACAGATAAAATTGCCGGCGATTTGGTTCCACCGAGTGTGCTCTGTCCAATGCTGGTGGAGGTGCCCACAAGTGCTCTGCTGCATGTCGTGCTCCTGCTGCAGCTGCTGAACGTGACTGGACTGCTCATATGCGGCCTTCAGGGAATAACTGAACTTGTTCCAGCCTCAAGCACCAGGAGGAGTGGTGGTTCTTCAGTGCTCAGTTCTGTTTTCTTCAGGCTGAGGCTAGCTGAGCCCCAGGGCTTGGTACAGCATGCCTCTCTTCCCTGTCCTCTAAGCAGCCGTGGAGCATGGAGGTGTAGACAATACAGGCCAGACACAGAAGGCAGGAGGGGGCCTGAAGTAGCCCGAGACAATTTAGGAATGGAGGTCAGAGGGAGGGTTGGGCAAGAAGTTCTGAGAGATCTAAAAGAGAGGAGGTAGTGGGGATTTGGGCTAAATAGGAGGTCTAGGTGTAGTGGGCCTGTACGTGTGCACACATCCAAGAAAGATGAACCCAGGAATTGGTATGGCAGGAGGAAGAGATACGGACTTGGGCAGGAGCCAGGAGAGGAGAAATAAGTTGCTTGTAGAAGAAATGGGCCAACGGAGCTGAGGAGGACAAAATACTGAGATTGGAAAAGAAGCTGGAGAACAAGACTCAGACCCTAGGGATAGGTAAATGTGGAAGCCAGTCTGGGCAAGAAAAGGGAAAGCCAGAAGCAAGGGAAGAAACTAGGATTCTGCTGACAAGGTGTGTAAAACACTGTGAGAAAGAAGACCTGTGTCAAGATTTTGGTTGTTCTAGTATGTTCTCTCTGGCATCTGGCAACAAAAGGGCACAGATTTCACACGGACTCTAGGTGATACCCATGAGTCCTTCAGTTTACTGCATTGAAAATGGGGAAGTGGTACTAGATGTCTGGTTTTTGGGGCATCTGAATCACTCTGGTTGCATCCCTCTCTAGAGCTTTGAATCCTCTAGTCTCAATTTTTGGTATGGCAGTTTCTTGGGAATACTTGAAGACAGGCTCTGAAGGTATTTTTATGGTTCTTACCACAGTCATATGTGTGCTTCATAGCATTAGAAAATACAATGTCTCTGTGAGATAGAAAGTTGGCATATTCTGGACAGAAGAGTTAAAAGGCAGCTGAGACCTCATTTCTCAAAGCAGATCTCCCATGGATTTTGGTTGCAGCAGTTCTGAAAATGAGGCCTCAGAAGGTGATGTGCTGCTCATACTGAGGTGGTGCTCATCCATAAAAAGTTTAAGCATCTTGCCTGGCACCACAGAAGAATTCTGTGGCAGAAGCAGGGATATCCCCAGCTCTTCAGGACAGCCTTCATCATCATAATCCTCAGATTATCCTTTCTCTCCAACAACCCTGTTGTACCTCCACTGTTTTTCTCCCTGAGAATCAACTGGGTCTCAGCCCTGTGGCTGTCACCTAGTCTTATCTAAAAACGTCTGAGTCTTAAGCTAGGATTTTCACCAAAAGCTTCTTCAACAGGTGAAACAGGATTCTCATCATCCTGATCTTTCTGGACAGCAGCTGTTGTCTCCTGCACTTGATAAGGCAGGATCCTGTTTACCAATTAACATATGATCATGCAATGCAAAACAAAGAGGATGTAAATCAAGTGGCAGAGACAGCTCTTTTTTTGGCACATCCTCTTCAGTACTGAATTCTCCAACGATTGTTTTTAAAAACTTTTTTTTGGTATGTGTGTGTGGTTAAAAATAGACAAGTTCAAAGAGAATTTATATAACCTTTCAAAGTACAGTTGTGTACCAAATTGGCCTGGACCATACTGCTGATCATTTTTTCTGACCACAGAGGTGCTAATTTTTTGTGTATATATATATATATATATATATAATTACACAAAACACAAAATAAAAGCTTGTTATTTGGTTGATGTTTGTAGTCACAACATTTCTGTTTGGAACTTGTCAATTATTTACAGTAGTGGAACAGTGGTTGAGAACTGCTTAAATATTTGTTTTCCAGGGAGAGGCTGTGTGTTGAGCCGAGAAACCCTTGGATACGGTGGGTAAGAAGAACAGATGAATTCAGTTGCTGGGCTGTGGGCAATATCTAGCAAGAAATGCACATCTGGGAATTCATTGATATTCACATGGTGGGAAATTAAGAGCAAGACAGAGGAGGGAAGAAGTGAATGTATGGTTGGAGAAGAGTTTTCAAGAAGGAAGACTTACACAAAAAAGAAAGAAGCCTGTGAGAGGGGAATGGGGTAGTAGGAAGTTATGTGTTAATGAATAAATAGCAATAAAGGTGTCTGATAGTGAATGATAAGTTTTGGTGACAGTTGAGGGAACTGGGAAAAACTGTAGGGCACATGAGAACAAGCTCACACAGACAAAGGCAAACTTCCATGGGAGGGAGATGCCCCTGCTCAGACACATGACTTTCTCTTGCCAAACCCTCTGAGCACTTTCTCCCATACAACCCTCTTAAAATGCAGCTCTGCCTCAGAGGCTTTTTTTTTTTTTCCTGGTAGACGGAGGGATCTAGACTGTCAGGAGGTTTTTCATATCTGTAGCTGTGTAAAGGGTACATGAACTGCTCCACCTCTTTGGTACTTTCCTCCCAGCTTTCTGTGGTGTCACTCACAGGTTATCGTGTTCACCCAATGCCTATCAACAACTGGTAATTTCACTCTGAGCCCACCTAAATAGCTACATATAACTCCTATAACCTTTTAACAAGGCAGATATGGATATGTACAAATAACAGACTCATTTAATTTGGGCTAGCCTAGACCATGGGTCTCAAAGAGGAGGAAGGCAAGTCATAGTTGACTTAAGGCTGCTCCAGCTTGTGTCCCAGGGTATGTGGAGCACCCAAAACAGAAGCTGAAAAAGCAAAAGGTTTCTGCTCTGCTCCCTGCTTTCCAGCATTCAGTGTGAGCTGGAGCTTGGACAACACTAAAGGCCAAGCAGGATTTTTTGTGCCATTTCACTGATGATTGAGATAACCTATGCATATTTTGGGCTTGATTAACAGCCTAAGTGCTGGTAGGCAGCATCTTAAGGCATGCATGAGTCCAGATGAATTTTTCCCTTGTCCT